TTTTTTAAAAAAAAATGTCGAATATTAATTTATTTGATAGACCTGCTTCTGGTCCAGTAAGTATCTTTTTGTGCAAGTGCTTTCGGATCATCATCCATGATGATTCATCATGAAAAGCGTCCTTTGATCGAATTTAGAGCTGGTAAAATGACCAAGGAAGGGAATACAGTGAAAGCAGATACAAGAAAAGGCAAAATAGCCTTGATTATTGATCCCGAAGATGGTCTTTTACATTTCCAATGGAGAGATAGAAGTGATAAGGTTATTGATGTTAGTATCAAATGCTTGTTTTGAAAGATCTAACGTACATTATTAATGTAATTATTTTTCCTTTGCCAACGTATTATTATGACGGCTTATTTGATAATGTACGACAATTTGTTACATGATTGATCAAACTTCGCAATCATCGCAACATTAGGATTCAATTGTATTTCAAGGAGATGTTACTTTCTCTAGAGTTAAGAAAGTAACGGATGGCCGAGTTTATTTGTTGAAATTTACATCAGGAAGAGAACTCTTCTATTGGATGCAAGAACCAAAACCGATAAAGACGATGAATATGAAAGAAAGATTAATGAATATATTGAAAATCCACCAATGGAAGGAATGAATGATGAAGACATACCACCTCAACCAACCGCTACGACCACACCTTCGGAAACATCAACACCACCCCAACAGAATGCTGTTCAACTGGATCAATTGTCAAGAATTATTCAAGGAATTAATCCAACAGCTCCGACTAGCGGACAGACACAACAAGCCTCTGCTACTACTCCATCTCAGCAATCTTCATCATCGCAACAATCTCAAGGTTCTCAAAATACAGAAGGTACGTAACACAACACACACACCAACGCACACAAACACACACCATATGTGTCAACAAAAAAAGCCTCTCTTCAAGAGTTATTGAGAAATTTCCAAGAACATCAACGTGAAAGAAAACAAACCATTGCACTGGAGCATGTCCTTCAATCCGATGCCATTAATGAAATCATCAAAAGACACCCATCCATTTTAAATAGAGATGAACTATTTGCCAATCTTCCTGAGGGTGACGATGACAGAAGTGCACAAACACTATTAAGCCATATAAGAAGTCCTCAATTCCGTCAAACTTTAGATGTGTTCGGGAGTGCAATGAGTACAGGTCAGTTGAGTGGGTTGATGAGAGATTTCGGTTTAGATCCATCTGTGGCAGATCCATTTAGAGGAGGAGGTTAGTTGACACATATTTACTTTCTCAATAAGTAATTCAATTATTTTTGTTTTTATAATTACTAACCAAAGGCCTTTTATCATTCCTAACTGCTTTAGCCAAGAAAGAAGAAAAGAAAGAAGGTGACAAAATGGAGGATGAGAACCAAGAAGGAAAACAATAGTTAGTATATGTTGTAGAGTCAGCCACATTCAAGGTATGTGGAACAATAAAAAAATATGGCTTGAAACATTATTAATACTACTACCCCTGTATACCTTACTGGGGTTCTTATGTTGCAGTATTCTTTTCTTCATTGTGTTTTCAAAACAAAAATATGTTGGCGCCACAATATACAATTACAAATTACATTCAAAAATGTCTCAAAAGATTTATCTTCAAGGAATCACCGACAATGTCAAACTCGCAAGGGAGCATGCCTTGCTTGGTAGTTATTCAGTCTCCCTTGCATACTATGATGGAATATCGGACCAAATAGATTCATACATGAACGACAATCTACTCGGAATGGATTCCAAAACACAATGGGCTCAGCTCAAACAAAGACTAAAACAAGAATATCAAATTATACAACACATTCAAAATGAATTGAACACATTCAGTAACGGTTTATCTCAAGGAAATAGCAACAGTGGAAGTAACAACACCCGAATGAAACCGATTGCCAAATTCTTTGAAGACCAACCCGAAAAGTCATCTGGTGGAGGATGTGTATTTGTTGTAAATACTGTTTCCAACAGCAACAACAACAACTCTCCACCTGTGTATGACGATGGTTCATTTGGTCCTAGAGCGAAAACCCCAAGCGCCAATCAACAAAACACTTCTCCGCAAGACAATTATGATCCCGATGTGTGGCTTCCTCCAACACCAGTGCAGGGAGTAAGCAAACCAAAGAGATTACAACCAAACAATGCTGAGAAGAAAGTAGTATCTTCTAAACCAGTGAACAATAGAGTAAGTATTGTTGAACCAACAATGAATGACATTTGTAGATTGTTAATTATGGGAAAGGTATGTAATTTTGTAAACCGCTGAAGAGAATTTACTTGTTGTTTGAAGACCATGCTTGCAAAAGCTGTTGCCACAGAATGTAAAACAACATTTTTCTGCGTTTCTGTTTCCGCCTTAACCTCAAAATGGAGAGGTGAATCTGAGAAATTAATCAAGTTATTATTTGAAATGGCTCGATTTTATGCTCCAAGTACGATATTTATTGACGAAATTGATGCTTTAGGAAGTAAGAGATCTGAAGGTGAACACGAAGCAAGTAGAAGAGTAAAAACAGAGTTATTGGTTCAAATGGATGGTGTAAATAATGACAGTAATTCGACAGATGATGCCAAAAGAAGATGGTACTTGTGCTTGGTGCCACAAAATCATCCTTGGGAGCTCGATGACGCCTTAAGAAGACGGCTTGAAAAGAGAATACATATACCCTTGCCTGACCTAGAAGGAAGACGATTAATTTTCAAATTATATCTTGACAAGCTAATACTTGCTGACGATGTGGATGTGGAAGAACTTTCAAAGTTGACAGAAGGATACAGTCCTGCAGATATTAAGTTAATTTGCAGAGATGCAGCGATGATGGTCCTTAGAAAAGCCATAGAAAATCTTGGCAAGACTGAAATTATTTCCAAACAAGGTGAGATCAAAAATCAACCAATAACAATGAGCCACTTCTTGGAGACATTGAAGAATGTCAGCTCCTCAGTTGGTACGGCTGAATTGGACAGATACAAAAAGTGGATGGAGGAGTATGGATCTAAATAAACTATTGAAATCTCAACAAGTATGGTAAAATGTTGTGAATGCTATATGTCAAAATGTAGGTAAAATATTAAAACATCATGGATCCCCGTGAAACAAGCATTATTGTCACATTTCTTTTAATTAGAAAATTGTTTGGTGTCATCGTTTAAATCTCCTGCAGTATTCTGTTTGAAAATCGACAGTTCCATAATCTCCAAAAGGTTTTGAGTGGTGAGTTGTCTGATGAAACGGCTGCGATTTTATATTTGCCTGAGGTTGGAAAGTTGTGCTGTATGTGGTCTTCCCTATTGATATTTTACGTTCCTTGGTTGGTGTTGGTTTTGATGTTGTTGGCTGTTTGGTGTCTTTGCCTGACCTTGCAGATGTTGAGGAACGAGCAGAGTTTTTGGGTTCAGCATCATTTTCATCCAACACTGGAGTAAACGCTGGTTCCACTACTCCACCACTTGCAGTTGGGCAAGAAGTAGCCTTCCATGCAGGTTCTGTTCTTACATAGTGTGACAATGTTTTCGAGCTTGGTCTTGCAAAATATGTTTTTGATGTTGGGAGATTGGTTCCTTGCGTTGGAAGGTAAGCGTATGGTTTTTGTGTTGAAATTTCGATCATGCATTTTGGATAGATTTGACGTGGATGGTCGAGCTGTCAACCCAGAGTTAGTAAAAGTGCTGTTCATTACACTCTTTCGTTGAAAGGAAATGTTTTGAATTGCGGGTGCTGATTTCGGTCGATCTCCTTGTTGGGAATTTGTCTTACTGTTTTGCCATTTCTCAGCTGCAACTTCATACACTGGTTTACTTTTCTTCTGATCAAGTAAATGAGGAGTGGATTCTAAAAACACACTTTGCTCATGAGACGTTGGTTGAATATGTTTTCTAAAGCTTGACAATGCAGCCATAACGTATTTAAAGACATTCATATCTGACTGACATGTATCCGAATGATTTTTAAAATAGGCCGCCACAGATTTGATTGCCTTTTCTGTTAACACGCCATGACCATAACTGCTTGCAACATAGAAAAATCGATCCACTTCACTCTCAGCTTTGAATGGATTGTTTTGTGATTGCAATTTTGATAATAATCACCTAAACGTTTGAATAGTGCATGGAACTCTTTTCTCTCCGTTTCGGTTGCTTGTTCTTTCAGCCACGCGCTGATTCCTCTTAACGATCGTTCTTCAAACAATTTAGAGTATGAACTTGATTGCAATTTGTTGGAAGTGCTTCGATACTTTTGAGAATAAATTCTTTGCGATATTCTTTGTGAGCATCAAAAGAAGGATCAAAATACGGCGTGTAATGTCCTCCGAATGTCATGGTGAGTAATATTTAAATATCACGAAAGTGAGAACCAGTGAGTGATTACTTTTTTTGAGATAAACTCTCTTTGAACGTTACTGGATTACCGACAATAACGGTAAAATTTGGCGGTAAAGACTGTCTCAATGGGTATAGAGACGCTGTGATCGGGACGGTGTTCTGTTTCTTTATCCGATGCATATGTGAGACTCCCTTCAAAAGAAAGAAGGTATTACAAAAGTGAAAGCCATGAATCAAACGTATTGTAAACAAACAAGAGGCTTCAAACGCATCTCTGAGATCGTGTGATTGTCTTTATTCACGGTTGTAATTAATTAAAGTACAATGAATTCTAATCCATCTTTTCATTTGTGTCTCTTTCATCATCATCACCTTCTTCCTTTTTATTAGGGTTATGCCTTAATAGATAGGAAGCAAGATATTGTATTGGATCTTCTGGTCGTTCTCTTACAACGCTGGCTAATCCTTGCAATAAAATTGGAACTACGGTTTGGTCAAGGTAGGCTCTCACCGGAAGAGCGTTATAATTCGTTTTAGCATGAACTTTTTCTTTGGTTTGTTCCAGTGTTGCAGCACTTGGTGTAAAATCTGCTAATAGATTGTCTTGTTTTTCTATTTACAAAATCAAAGAAGGGTTGTATTCATCCTCTTTGATCATGCCCGATAATTTTCTCCGTCTGATTGCTTACCTGAAGACATGATGATGACGAC